TAGCAATTGAAGAAGAGCTTCTGACGATGAAATGTGACTTTGAAATCAAACCATTGTTCAAAAAGCCGTACCAGTCATTCTGGTTGAAAACTATTGTGCAAGACAAATGCCCCTCAAAGTGGGAAAAGATCAAGTTGTTGTTCATTTCTTTTCCCGCCTCGTATCTAGTAGAAAGGGGATTCAGTGCAGTGACAAGTTTGCTGACGAAGCGTAGAGATTTGCGTCTGCTACTGACCAATTTGAAACCTGATGTTGATAAGTTGGTTCCGTCTTAGCATGTCCATCCTTCCCATTAGGGTAGTTTCAATAACTTATTTGCGCATGCTTACTCCGTAGTTTACCCGTACCTGATATCTCAATGTGTCTTTTTTTCTTCCTTTTTTTAAAAGCAAAACATTCACTTGTTTAACAGAGTTTTTTATGTGCACGTGCTGCCACTGCTGATGAAACTGATGATGATGATGATGATGATGACGATGATAATGATGATAGATGATGATGACGATGATGATGATGATAGATGATGATGATGATAGATGATGATGACGATGACGGTGATAATTGCAGACTAAGATTCATGCATACTTTTTCTTTCGTGTGGTTTCTCACATTTGGACAACTTAATAATAGTTTTATTTTCTACAATGGAGATATTTGATACAAATCTCAGGCCACTACATTGCAGCACGTTGATGGGAGAAAAGTTTCATAAAGATAATGTCAATCTGTTTTCAAACCAATGATCATGGGCGTTTTTATTTATTTGTTTATTTTGTGGCGTTTTGCTTCTGTAAATGTGATAATACAATTTTTATTTTTATTGATGTTAATAACACTGGTCGTTTAGTACCGGTGACAATTATATGCAAAAAATGACAGTATTTTGCTCTCAATGCCCTTGCATAAGATTGAAGAAAAATGTGCTTTATTATCTCTTGTTCACGCTTAATTTAAGACTGTAAAGATGGTGATTTGTGACCCAACTAATATTCAGAACTAAATTATTAGAATTTAGGCACGTTACTTTCTACCCTGCTGTTTGAGCTCTCTCTTTATTTGTGATTATTATATTATGCATGTCATTATGTCAGATTGATGGTTGGGGCGGAGTAGGGGTCTCGGCTGGGTGAAAAACGGGGAGGTGGGCGAAAAAAGTTTGAAAACTACTGTGCTAGAGTAAGCAAGCAAAAGATGAGTCCTGGAAATGGACAGCAATTGGCGAGAAAATGCAAAGAGGACTTTTAAGAGAAATTTATAAGAGAATCACAGGCATGCATATTCTAGAAAATCCGTTCAACCCAGCAACCATCATAAACGACAGAGGTAGCAATCCAATCACCAACAAAAATAAAACGGAGGAAAGATGTAAAAAAAAAAAAGATTTCTAAAAACTGCTGAACCTAACAGAAAAAGCCACACCGGAAAAATACATCATCAAAGAAGAGAGTATAGAATCACCGATATATTACAAAGTAAAGAGAATGAATAATCAGGAACAGCCCCTGAAACAACATAAAAATATGGCATCGATGGATTGACAACAGAAGAGATAAAACGCATGTGGTGACACTGGAGCAAACTGGCTGCGTAGGATCTTTATTAACACAGCATGGCACACAAGAAAAGTATGTACTGACTGGCTACACTCGATCATAATTCATATCGCCAATACGTAAGAAAAAAGGTAACAAAAGGAACTGAGGAATGTACAAAGGAATATATTGCTTAAAAGCCACATGGGCAACATGTTCACCAAAATCTTAGAACAAAGAATGTGACCAACAGAGGGAACACAATTGAGTGATGTCCAGTTTGGATTCAGGAGGGGCAGAGATGAACAGATGCTATTTTTTTAATTCACATATGAGCGAAACACAAGGACCTTAGGACAAAGGTTATAGTATAACCTCTTTGGCGAAACAGTAATTGAATACTGGGTGTCTAAAAAAAACCCAAATAAAGTTCAAGCAAGGGGACTTTACATTTGTCCAGAAAAAAATCAACCAACACGTTTGAAAAATAATAAATTTTAAAACTTTCAACCAAAACTGAGGGACACGTAAAACTTTTCAACTTCATAAAAATCAATATACCATATTGTTCCATTTCAAATAGTCACTTTTTCACTACTATTTGTGCAGTGAAGAACAAATTTATGCCAAATTGATGTTACTAAATTGACTCAGGGAGGTGATTGCTATTCAAATCTCCAAGTGTTCACCATTTCTCTCCCTACAAGCTCCAATATACCACTGGTAATTTGCATGTTCCTAGGCTGATTCTTTGGATGTCATGTTCAACACTGAGTTTCAACTGTTGGATTGTTTATGGGTTGTTTCTGTATACTGTCAGTTAAGAAACCTAAAACTAAACAGGTAATAATTGAAGAGGTTCCAGTTAAGGGCAATGTGATGACAATTCATTTGTAAACTTTCAGTTTATAAGGCGTTCCCTAAAGTCTTCTTACAATCACACGAGCGCCACTCTTGATGTACACCTCCTCCTCAAACTTCTGCAAAACTTTCCCGTCACAGTGAAATAATCCATCTGATATGACAGTCATGGTTTTACTTTCCTTGTCCTAAAACTACAACGGGCAGATGACACCCCCTGTAGCTGAAGGTTTTTTAGGAGTAAAATTTTGCATTTTACCCAATTTTGGTATAAATTTTTAAAATTTGATATTTCTTGAACACTTTGCTTGATTTTCTTTTTATTTATAAACCTGATGTCTTCCTGGTTGAATTTTATTAGTTCGAAGTTTTATTGAAATTAGTGGAGAGATGACAGAGTTATTACCCTTTAAATGGGTCCTCTTTTTTTTAGACACCCTGTACAACAAAGAAATAACTCTAAAAACAGTTTTTGTGGACCAGGAACAGGCTTTCGACAGAGTAAACAGACGCTTCCTAAGGTAAGTGCTGGAGGAATATGGATTGAATTACACACTTTAAAAAAATATGGCTCTTTGTGAGAACAGTCTTTGTGTCGTAAAAACAACAGAAGAACTCACTGACTGGTTCCCAGTACTGTCAGGAGTTAAACAAGAGTGTGTGCTCTCCCTGCTTCTATTTCTATGTATCACATATATATGGACAGGTTCATCAGTGAGGCAAATACATATAGGCCTATATATATATGGCAACACTAGTGCAAATGAACTCCTGTTTGCCGATGACCAGAGCATCCTAACATATAAATAGCCTGAACGAAAAGTGCAAAGAGTACCAGAAGAAAATATAGCCAAAGCAGAAGTAATGAAAGTCGGCAGCAACCCAGGCCCCCTAAACATCGCCTTGGACCGGACGCAATTCAAGCAAGTTGAGGAATTTAAATACCTGGGGAGCATATTTACACACAACAGAAGATTAGACAGGGAAATTGAAATGATGACCCAAAAAGCAAAAATGTAGTATTCTGTCAATTGTCAGAGTCACCACTGCTCACCCATAAACACCTGCCACCTATGGATGGTTGGTGTGTGCTCTGGCCTGGTTTGCTCCTTCTTTCTTATCCAATCAAACATCAATTGTCCCAATCTTTTCTCCTTTTTAGTGTTCGTTACTCTCTTGTAAAGACTCCAATCTTCAGCACTTATATTATAACCTTATTGCTGTAAAACTCTCACTAAAACTAAACACCTACCTATGGGAGTAAAAAGACAACTTATCAACAGCATCTTCCTTCAACTAATGACTTATCAATGCCAGACTAAACATGGCACAAAAAAAAGGAAGATCAATGCCCGTGACAAGAAATGCCTCAGAAAGAATGCATGAGGAACGAAGCTGTAGGAAATTTAACGGGGATGAAACCGGCCACGGAACACATAGAACAACAAAGAATCAAGTGGCTTGCTTATTTGATGATAATGTTACCAAATTAGCTAGAGCTGCATGAACTTGCAAGCTAAAAGAGTCAGTATACAAGGGCAAGGGCAGACCACGCAAAACTGGACTGAATGGCATGAAAGAGATCCTCCGGAAGAATAACATATCAACAACAGATGCCACCCGCCTAGCCATTGACCAAAATTGCACCTCCCTTCAGCATCTAACAATAAAAGAGAAAGGATAAAGTAAAGTAAAGTAAAGTAAAGAAGTATAAATATGTAAATATATAAGTGTGTGTGGGTGTATTTGTGTGTATTGCAGCGTGGTGAAATTTGGGGCTTGACAAAATAATGAAATTATCGAAGAAACCAACATTTTCTCATCCCTTGGGCAATTTTGATCAAACATTAAATTTTTGGCTCAGCACCTTTTAGATATCTATGTATATACCCATTTAAAAACACATTTCTGTGTGGGTTTTATTGAAAAATGTTGATGACAGGTACAAAAAATGTAAATGAGCTGTTTTCAAGGGCAATCAAGTTTTGGAAATCACCAAACTTTGGTGACCATTTTCTCGCTAATTTTACCTCTGACACCAGGCAACCCCCACCTCCTTCAATCACAATTAAAAGCAAGGCAAATAAAGAGGCTTTTATTACTTAAAAATCATACCAATAATTCCACATGTCCAAAAACTGACGAGTGTCTGATTCCACCATGTCCGCACACACGCACGTGCGCACACACTAACACACACACAGATATCACACAGTCAGACACACACATATACGGAAAATGAGCAAAGGGAAAATTACATTCATTTCTGGAAGCCAAAGCATCCATAACAATGACCTGCCTGAAAACTCACTACGTTCCCCAAGTGGATCTATTTATCCTGCTTCTATCACCCTATCTAAAGCTGCTCATCTTGCACTGCACAATGCCTTCAGCCTGTTCACATATATGACATGATTCAAGATTGTATGTTTTTCAACTCCGCAAACATATTTTAGGTCATATAGGAAACAAGTTGTTTCCACCATGACTTTAAGGGTCAATCTGAATGGAGTGTCTCATAGACTTCTTCTCACGGGAATTAAACTCATATTGTCTTTTGAATGCAATAGTGAAGAATCAGAACACATTCCTACATCACAAATGCTGGCAATGGTAAATAAGAGAATAACAAACAGCGATAGCAGTATTTCTGTTCCTTTTACGACTGTTTTCCCAGATATTTGTGACATCTGTAAATCCACATTGCATTCTGAATGCAAACGTAAAATCCAAGCCACTCCAGAATGAACTGCTTCCATGGAACTGATAAAGAAAAAAAAAAAAGATAAATAAAAATAGATCTAAAAAAAGTTTTTTAAATGTAAAAAGAAAAGGGTTGAAATAACACACACGGGCACACATATATACACATAAACATACAGATTTACATACAGTCAAGTCAAACCCCACTACATCACCTACTTTGAGAGGAGCATGAAGTTGTCGGTACAGTATAATAGAGCTGCCACACCACAATTCAGTGCTATTTGCCTGACTATTGGTAAAACATATCAGAGGGAGTCCTTAGCCAATATTCTGGCCTCAACATGTTTCCATAATTTGGCACTGTTCAGGGCTTCATCATTGTTTATGGGCAGAGCACGACTTTGTTTCAGTCGCAAGCTGTAAACAGTTTGTGAGGGTTTTCACTTTCCGGTAGGAAATGGATGAAGTAGCAGCCATTTCTAGGCAAACGATGTAGCCTGCTTTCTCAGTCAGACTTACCAGAGCTCTTCTCTTTACTATGCTGATGCTTGAATGTACAACGTGTCTATCCCTTTTTCATCTGAAGCTTCGTGGTTGTGCCCAGATGGCAGCATTTGTAGACTCTGCTGGCTGAGATTGGTTATACATCACCATATGCGGCCAGCCTTTTGCAGCAGCGCCAAGTGAGAAAACATTTCCGCTCCCAGTCATGATGAAGAACCTGTCCATTGACCACTAGACATGGAGACCCCTTTTTCGCTGTAATGACTGCCATAATTTTCTAGAACGCAAAGTATGCATACGGACAGTCATTCCATACATACTGATGAGTCTCAAGTCAGAATTGCTTTGTCAGTTCGATGAGTTCCAACTCTGAATTGGTTTTCCAGTTACCCCTCTCATAGATGTGCTTCACTTGGTCTAAGGTCTTATTTTTGTCGGACATGGAAATACATGACTATAAATTCATTTTTCAAAAGCACTGGAATGATTTTTTTCCCTAACTTAGGAAAAGATGTTCCCAGCAGTGCTGAAAAGAGGATTTTCTTTGCCTCGGGTAAATTGTCGATGATCAGAGCTGAATTGTCATCAGTTTACGAAGTCAAGCATGACAAGAACTGAATCCTGGTATTCCCAGTGGGGCTGGCAGTATAAAGAGGTTAATTCAACTAATTTATATTCTCTCTTAAATATAAATAGCGCTGTCTGCCATTTTGAATAGACTGGTAGCAACTAGAGACAAACTGGCCGAGATCTGTCTTGTGTGTTTGCCATGCGCAGGGGAAAAACAGATAGCAACCAATTACCAGAACAGCTGCAGATGAACTTAACGTAACTAAATAAAAATTTTCTGCTGGATCAGAATCTAGGCTATTTGTGTCTAGGTTCAGTAGATAAACAGTTTTTTTCCTCGATGCCCATCAGTTCTTGTCTGCTTCAGACACGTCACATAGACCTGAGCCTGCGTTCTTTCAATATAAAAGCCTCATGGGCACCCATCAGCCTTTAGGTCATCGTTCTAAAAATAATACTAGATCTAGCAGGCAGAGACGTGTGTGGGAGAGAGATTAAAATGTAGCCACCAATGAGTGGGTACCGTGCGTTGTGTGTACCTCTGATGGCCAGATCGTTGGCGGTATAGTGTGATAAATTTAGATGCCTTTCCTTTGATAAGGACTGTACAGCTCAAACAGTTGGCGGATGGTGGCGTAAAGGCACAAGTCCTATATATACACTTATATATTATATATGCACAAGTCCTATATATACACTTATATATTATATATATATATATATATATATATATATAGGCTTTACTTTTTGTACCTTGGCAAAACTTAACATGTCAGGGCTGGTGATATAATGGAGGCAGTATAACAACAGGGTTTGATTGTTCCACATATAGTCTAGCATGCACATAGCGAAATCAGCAGGAGGGAAATCTTTTTGCTTTGTACCAATTTTGCTATGCATGTGTGTATTAAACAATAATAATAATAATAGCATTTATATAGCGCATATCCATGCATTAAACACAAGGAATATATTGCATATAAAGAAAAAAGAAAAAATTTGGGACTTGACAATTTGTTCACAATGTGCATGCTAACTGTCTACATATAACAAAAGTTATAGAGAACGATCTGTACAAAGTAAAATAAAAGCATTTTCCTTTAATCAGATTCAAAGAAAAAGTATCCAAAAAATTTAACGTTTGCATTCGATAATTGTATGATTTCAAATATTTGTATAAAATAGTAGTAAAAGATTATGCTCTAAGTCTACGTCAGGCACAGGCAAGCATGTCCATGCCTCGTACAGAACTAACGATTCTGAATATCTAGAGGTCCAGAGCAGGGAAAATTGGGAGAAATCAGTTGAAGGTATGGTAAGACAAGATAAACTTTATTGATACATGAGGAGAGGAAGGTCTTGAAATACCTTAGCTCCCAAAAGTGAAACCAAAAACAGCACCGTATGGGAATATTGTAACATAAATATTAGATCTATTGTTGCCCACTAGGCCTGAAACTATTGGTTTTATTTTTCAAGACAGACAGATTGCTTTTATTAATTGTCACCTCACCGTCGGACACATTTGTTATTCTTTACTGGGTTGACTAACAGGCCAGACTGAAACTGTTCATGGGCCAAATAGTCAGCAGGCTGTCATTTGCCCACATCTGCTCTAAAGTATGTTTTGACCTGTTAAGCAGGAGGTCAGTTATTATGGCAATATGCACTAATCACAATAGGGAAATTAGAAATGAATTGCTATTTACAAAAAGAAATCAGTATCCCACTCTTAAGATAAAAGTTTGATCAATAAGACTTACTTCTAAAAAGCATACGATCTGCCATAATTCCGCCAATTTCTTCTTCAAAGAAGAAATAAAAGATTTGCAAGCAAGAGACCAGGTACAAAAGGGCAGTCACCAAGCATCTGATGCGAAGCTGCATTGCTGAACTCAGAAATGAAGCCTGAAAAAAAAAATTTGCTCTGGTAACAAAGTTCTTTGCTGCCAGACTCAAATAAAAAATGAGAAGTACAGATATACAAAACAAAAGTACACAAAAGCATTTTACTGTTATGAAGTAAAGTGTGTGGATTCTGTCATCATACATGAGAAAGCAAAAAATGTCCCTAATCATAGCTATGTGAAGCGCATAGAGCTTGCTGTTGAGCGGGGATTTGCACTATACAAATGCTATCTATTATCCATTATTATACACGTCACGCGTATGAAAGAAACAGAAACGGCCTGATCTTTCTAGAGGTGTATTTTGTTATTCCAGGCAGTGATTAGGCCGTTTCTGTTTCTTTCATATGCGTGACGTGTATAATAATGGATAATAGATAGCATTTGTATAGTGCAAATCCCCGCTCAACAGCAAGCTCTATGCGTTTCACAACCTATACTATTACCCCAGCAGACCTGAGAGCATTCTGAAACAACCTCAACTTCCTGGGAAGCATACAGTGCAAGCAGCCATTCATAGACACTAAAACACTAACATACTGACAAGACCTTTCGCTGTCTATGGCCGGGTACCCATTCCCACCTGGGTGGAGTGAGGACAATCCGTGTAAAGTGCCTTTCGAAAGGACACAACGTCGAGCCCCCGGCTCGAACCCCCAAACCCGCAACCTCACGATTACGAGTCCGGTAGCCTAACCACAAGGCCACCGACGCCATGTGTATAAAAGATATTATCTTGCGTTGCTTTGGAGAGAAGCAAAACTTGTGTACCGTTGCCTTTGCCGCTACCATGACTCAGGTCATCATTCAAAACAACGTGTCAATTTTTGGTATACCAAATATACATGTCAAGTAATCAAATATCCCAAGACAAGAATAACAAGAAATGAGTGCTCCTCTTTTAATAATAAAACTGTTAACCCTTTCATTGTCTTATGACGTAGAAAATGAGTTATTTTTAGCTATGGGCCATACCATGTACGTCATGGAAGTTGGCAATATTTGCCACTCCTAGTTGCCTATATTATGTCGTTACATTTACGTTAAGCTAATAACCTGGCTCTAATTCTTTTGTATAGAGTTTTAACAACAAGCGCTACATAGGTTTGTATTCTGCAATAAAAGACGTGGATATGAGTACCAAATTTGCTAGTATTACTTTACTGCTGGGCTCCCAAGCAATCGGTAGACACAGATCTAGGCATGCGGCGGCTGCGTGCTCTCGTAAAACGTAAACATCTAAATGACTTTAAAAAGGCTAAAATATTCACTTTTTTACTTTGATTTGCAGGTTATTTGAAATTATGAGTAAGACAGGAGTAAACAGGGAATGAGAAAAGTGACACAATCGAAGACCCGGTATCCAAATATGTCCAGAGTGGGTTAGATCAAGACCGCACGTCCATTAACACTGAGACATTAAACTGCTGTGCTGGGTAAGAACCTCAGCTGAAAATCGGTGCTGACAGTAGGAACGCATACCCCCCTGGCAACAAAAGGCTTAATATGCATTTAAACCAGATGGTTTATATGTTTTCATAACTAATTATGAGGTGGAGATTGCAAAAATGACATTAGATTCATCATTTGAAGTTAAAATTAGAAATGTTTTCTTGCTAAGGCTGACACCAGAGGACCTGACAAAAATGCCGTAAGCTGCATTTCAATGGACCCATCTTTTGTCGAGATGCACTGTGTCATTTTTGGAGGACACATCCAAACCAAATATTCTTAGATTGTTACGGTAAAACCTGGCGAGTTTTTTTTTCAACTTCCTATTTCCACAGAGATCATGGATAACTTTTAGTTTTAGTCCCTTGGTTTCTGTGCTGATATACGCTGGCTTTACTAAACCACGCAAAAGCCATATTGGGCTAAGCCTGTCCCCGTGGTTTTATGCACCCCGCATAATTTAACAAAATTTTATCATTTTTTTCATAATTTCTGATTATTTTCCATTATCATATTCCTCCCAACACTCACCTATCAATGCCAAATGTGGACCACGAACAAGACATTAGAATTAGAGCAAAGAATTACAACATGTGAAATGCGATGCCTTAGAAAAGCAGTAAACAAGACCAGGCGAGACAAAATTAGAAACTCTGAAATCAGAGAAATGGTGGGCACAAATGAGGTCATGCATCACATCCAACACCAAAGAATCAAATGGTACGGACATCTCCTGCGATTACCAACACACCATCCAGCACAACGTGCCTACATAAAAAAATTCGATGGCAACAAGGCTAGAGGGCAACCGAGAAAGACCTGGATAGATGGAGTCAGGGAAACATAAACCACCCACGGCATCCCCCTGACCCAAACTCTCCGGCTGGCGACAGAGAGACGTCTCTTTCTTCCTGCGACACCCAAAAGGGTATAAGCGGCAGATAAAAGTAAAAGTAAAGTAAGTAAAGTTAAAATTAACAAAATTGCATAATTTCACATTTTTGGGCTCAGTTTGCATAATTTCAGAATTTTTCTTGCATAAAACGACGGGGACAGCTAAGCTAATAGTCATTACTGAGTGTAATTCATTTAAATGAACTTGATTTTTATCTCACCATAGCAAAAAATAAAAGCTTTTTGAAAGTCAACTAGCTACTTACCAAATAAACTCCCATCCGACTCTTTTCAATTTTGATGCCCAATGATTCCACAAGTCCAACAGCGTAGTTCCCTAGACACCATATGAGCAAAGCTGTGGAGGCACCATGCCAAAAGTAGATGAAGGCAAATACCAAACCCGAGGCAAATGCCTGACGCAGGAATCCCGAATGTGAGCCTCCAAGAGGGATGAATATGTACCTCTTAATGAACTGATAAAGTCCAACATCAAAATACTTCCACATGTCAGTGTATGAGAAGACCCAGCTGATACAGCGAGGGCTGCTTTGAGGAACAATTCCTTCAAATCTAAGCAATTCACAGCTAAGTCCATACATACACAGATATTTTACCATAAATAATTGGCCTTGGTAGTACCCTAAGGCAATAATTCCCGTCAATGTCATTGACCTCACAAATTCTGCTTCAGAACCAATAGCCGAATGATAAAAGAAATGACATTGGAATTCTATAAAAAGGGCCCAAAATGCTATTCTAAATAGTCCTTTAAAAATGTCTTTGAAGGGGATGCTAGGGGAAGACCTTTCATAGAACGCTTTCTCTTGCTCATGGAAGTCACTGTATGTAAAAATGGGGCCATCAAAAAATTTTGGTAAACAAAGTATGTAGTACAAGAGATCTATGAATGAAGGATCACTACTCAAATCAGATGGTCTCTGAATTCTTTGACAGATGTCATTTTGTACATCACCTGAATCATCACGTTTTCTTTTTACAACTTTTCGGGGCATGTCAATTTGGGAAGCACTCTGAACAATGTCGTTTTCTTGCTTGTTCACTGATGTATTGGTTTTTTTAGACAACTTATGAACTGACTTGAATTTTATTTTCTCTATGGCAAAGCTCACCAGACCAATATGAACAAATGCCTCAGCTGTAGTGAAATAGTAAAATATATCTGACTGTCTTTTGTAAAGGCCCAAGTATCCAGCCTGAAAAACAACAAAAACAATACATGTTATACACAAGGCATACATTATTCCATATAAAGCCAATGGTTTATTTCAATTGCGCACATAATGCATCACAACTGATAAAAGTAGATCTATATTTATTGTATCAAATAACAACTGCAGCCTGACAATAAACAGGATCCAGGGTCATTTGTAAACTCACAACTCCAACCTGCAAGCAGGAGCATGTGAAGGATATATCTGCTTGGAGGTGGTTGGCGGGTGCTCTGGTGTGGTTTGCTCCTTCTTTCCAATCAAACATCTATCGTCCTTATCTCCCCTTCTTCTTTTTTATATTTGTTACTCTCTTGTAACACCTCTAATCTTCTGGCGCTCAAATGACCTTATGCAGTTGCGAGCGCCGTAAAACCTCTACGTAAAAAAAAAAAAAATCTGCTTGAGAAAAATTACAGCCATCATTAAGGCAAAGCTGTACACCCTCCGACCATCGTCAAGGATGTACAGTAGTCTCCACCTAAGATCCCGGTGTTCAGGAGCAAAAAAAATACGGGATCTTAGGCGAACCGGGATCTTAGCTGACGAACCCAGGGGAGAATCTATGGTGACCAATGTTAAGGCTCATAATCCGTAAAATGGTCTCCCTCCACTCTAAAATGAACTGACGTAACCTTTAGGTGGGTTTATGACAAATGGCGAGCAAAGACTCGTTAACCTTGACCTATCACAGTGCATAGCGGCATGAGGCGTGCCATTTTCACTTATTATCTAATTGTAAGTCTCAAGATCTATGCTTATGCAGTTGACCCTCCCCTTTACCTGTCGAAAGTTTATAGCTTTCCATCTGTGACCAAGTTCCCCCGCCTTTGTCGTCGTTACGCACCATTAGGTTGTGACCACACCAATAAAATCCAATCTGTCTCGCAAATTCGGGAATAGAGAAAACTGCTGCAATGGTCAGGGAAGAGTTCACAGTTTGAAGTGATTCTGCCTGGAGCGAGGTGATGTAAGTTTTGGCGGAGAGCTCAGAAGCGAGTGCGATGTTTGGGGAAAACAAATACATCAGTCAGTTCACACATCGGTGTGATCGCGTCTGAGGCAAACATTGTACCATTTCATTGAGTTTTACAACGCTTATGTGATCACATTCACGAGAGCCGTTGATCTTTGACGCGACGGGCAGTTCATTGATCTTAATTTCCCTCTCGGTTGATCGGTTGTGCCTGCCCGGGTTTCACATCTTCCTGGTCCCAAATTTGGAACCAACAAATACACAACCAACTCCATTACATTCAACCGAAACGTACGCCCAGGAAACCTGTGACTCTCCCACGAAGAGAGAATGCTGTTTACACAAGATTAAGAATAGGACACACACACATCACGTAAAAACATTTACTCAAAGGAGAGGAAGCTCCTTTTTGCGTGGAGTGCAACACATATTTTACAGTTCGGCACATCCTGACGGAAGGTGTCGACTTCAACGATACACGGTGAAATCCTGTTATAATGAGAGGGAGGGGACTGGGGTGAAATGTCCGTTATAGCAGGATTCTCGTTATAAGGGATCCAGTAATAAATTCAAGGGAAATAGTAAAATAGGCCTAATCTATGAGTTTGGTGTTCTGTTTATTCCTTTTCGCATTTCCCCTGATCACGATTTTGTTCAACATGATCTCTTTGTCCTATATGATCAAAAATCGAATCAGGTTTCTTTCTCTAGCACTAGCAATGTTGACAGCTCGGCGCTGGCGATCCGAAAGAAGAGGCTCTGGCTCTAGGCTAACTCGCCCGCTGTGTTGTCCCCCACCTCACCACACCCTGGGGTACGTTGCTTCTGCCTGCGCACGTCACATATTCACTTCATCTATCACAGCATTGTGACCTCTCCATCCCGCACCAGAGAAGTGAGAGGCATGGTAGGCCTGGATAATCTAGACTGGGCTGGTCTATAACGCAATGCGTTCTGCTTGTCTGCGCATGCCACACCCTCACCACTCATTCACTCCAGCCTTCATTGTTGGTTCACGTGGACTCTCCCATTCTTTGTTCCGCTGGATCACCAACAACTTTCTCTACTGGCGAGGTTTTATAATATGTGTAGTAATTGGTCTGTGCACTGTGCACAGCAGCAGCAATACTCTGTTATAACCGAATCGCGTGACCGTCTGATTGCACAATAGCAGTATTTTATTTACAAAGATAAAGAAGGGAAAAAAACAGGGTTTTTGAATAGTGTCTTTATAACAGACTTCTCGTTATTTCAGGACTCATTGTAAGTGGACTCCACTGTACGTACAAAATACTTTAGATGTAAAGATGTCAAAACTCTTTATGACATCGTTAATTCGAGAAAAATTTTAAGTTTTATTAAAGAAATAGAATTGTTTAAAAGGGTATCAAAGGTATAGTTATCGTTCTTGGTGTATATACATACACTAAAATTAATATTATAAATATAAAAGTAAATAAGAGCCTTTACATTTACAAAAATTTTCATAAATGTCTGTCCGTCCTTTTAACATGATGATGATATGACAGTATGCAGTTGCGAGCGCTGAAAAACTCTTACTAAAACATGACATGATGATAGATTTGTTGCAGTAAAACCTGTTGGCATTTACATGACCAAAGATGAGTCAATAGTGCCATAAAACACCTACTCAATCAATCAACCTCCGTAAATTGTGATTAGAAATGCGGGAACTTAGCCGAATGTAGACCTTCAGAGTGAATCAGAGTTGGATCTTAGGGGTGACTTTTGTATCGTAAAAATTCTGTTTTCTTAAAACAGAGAGATCTTAAGCGGTGGGATCTCAGGTGGAGACAACTGTACTGGTACTGCCTTCGCACGCAAAAATATTTACTATAGAAATTTAAACTAAAAAGAAAAAGAAAGAAAATACTTAGGGCATAAATGTTATAAATACTCATTTCCTTCAAGTTCTTAAAAGACAACCCCACCCCCCCATCAAAAAACAGCAACAACAAAAACAAACAACAGAACTACAACAAAATACATTCCTTAGTCAGCTATTTCTTTTCCAGTCAAATAAAATGCATATATAAATGTTAAAGACCGGTACAAATGAGTTCCTGCTACTAAAAACAAATCTGAAATACTCTTGTCACAATCTAATTCGAGAGCTTGTTTGTTTGTTTGTTTGTTTGAGTAAAGAGAAGCACATCAACATAGTACTGGTCATTTAGTAGTGGGGAAAAACAGATAGGAACAACAGGGAAAGTAAAGAAGTAGGATCTACCAGTGCCACCCTCCAACCATCCGCTTTGAGAGCCGATAATACAAAATGTGTTCTTATCAACTTAAAAAAATTGCAAACAGAATATTCTTCCCAAACAGAACTTGACACAGGATTCAAAATGTGGCCCTTTTAAATGCAATAAAAAATTGCAGACAATGCATCCCCACTTCATTTGAACTGGTTTATGTTTGCCAAAAAAAAAAAGTACCGAATCCAAGCAGTAAACATACCTTTTTCACCATAAAAGAGTGAGAGTTCAAAGAATACGTCATGGAAAGAATAGCTATCCATATTGCCCAAATGCTGTTAGAGTAGGAGACCGCATAAATCAACGCAGCTTCCACTAGGAGAAGCAGGACACACCTTAGGCCCATGATCCAGTTTAAAATACTAGCATCAAACAGAAGGATGAAGAACTTGCATGTCTGAAAAAAAAAAAGGATTTTCAAAGCTTGAGTCAGGATGGATATGTCTATCTTCTTTAAAAATGTAGGCGATTTTATGACCCCATCAACACGATTAAATCTTTAAAGAGAGAGCTTCTGACCATGCCTGTCACGGCCAACCCAGGCTAAGAAGGATACAACAACATCCTAGCAGAAAAACCGAGATACTTGATACAAATTTGGGAATCAAACTCAGGTCTCCTGAGTGCGGCAGTGAAGCGCCTAACCACTATACCACAGATGCCCGCGTGTCTACCTTCACACTGATTGAAAAGAAATATTATCATTATATTATTAAGAATAAGCATGTCATTAGCATTTTTCAACTTTACCAGATACAGTAGCACATTTGTGCATGAATTGGGACACTGAAGTTAAAGGAACAGTGACTGACAATGTCCGGTCCAAAAAATACAAATAGAGTAAACATAAATGTGAACACTCACTTGTTCTTTGAATCCAAAGGCACGGCAAGACTGACATATAATGATGCGCAATACATTGAAAAAGAGAAGCTGCCATGTCAGTGTCCTCCATCTTCCCCATTCTACATCAGACAGGTCCTGAAAAGGGCACAAAGATTTCACACAAATTAACAGATGAAATTTCACGTGTTTGAACATACATCAATTTTCATGCATAAAAGATATCAAAATATTGTAGGACTTTTTTTCTTATAATATCGCTCTGAAGGTTGCAAATGTGTAGTTTTCTCATCAGGAAGGTGAACAATTCAGGGAAAGTTACCTTTCATGTCAAAAGACAAGATTTGATTAAAAGATTAAAATAATAAATATCAAACATACTCATGAAACTGAAATCAATTCATATATCATTCTTTTCATCTTTTTGTCCATTTTTGCACTGAGTTAACATTAACATCTAGTAAGATACATTTGAAAATAAAACGTTTGGTTTTGCACAGACTGCTTTTATCACATAAAATAACACTACATAGACAGAGACATGGTTTTCGACATAACTTTTCATTTGAACTGCAACCAGACCAATCTAATTTTTTTAAAATTCTCTCGTTTACCAATGTCCAAGTGGAAAAACCAGTAAACCTAAGCAAGCTACTCATACTAGTTAGTGTTCATGATCAATATAGTTCTATTATATAAATGTGAGCATAGGTTTGGGAGTTGCAGTAGGGTGTGCATGATCAGTGTCATTTTTATGTTGTATTCTTTGATTCTATTAAATATAAATGGAATTTGACTGGAACTGACACTCTTTAGTCTCGTTTTGCATTTTATATGTTTTTCAATCATCGAAAGGAGATCAGGAAATGAAGACAAATATCACCTGCTTTCTTCCCAAGAAAGCCCAGCCAGGGGTCAGGGTATTCTCAGAGAATGGAGTCCTCTGGAAATCTGTTATGAAAAATATTGATAACAAAATGTATTATATTGCAATTATCACAAACAATTTCAGATTACATAAAAAGCATGCATTTCAAACTACAAGCTGGCCGGAAGCAACTTAGCAGTTATTTTCATTACTTCATAAAAACCCAAGTCTATCATTACTAATCACAAAATCCCCTAAAAAATTATTATGCAGCCTATTGAATTACTCTTCACAACAGGACAACTTTCTGACAGCCACCATAATGTTTGCTCGACCTTGCTGAAATGACAAAAAATCCCAGATATAATGCAAGTCCAAGAATCCTCTTAATCACAGAAAAATGGTACGAAATAAAGTCAAAATTGTCTGAGATAGCTATCCACAGAGGAGGAGAAAAGTGGCTGTCTTTGACCGGTAGCCCGTTTGCAGTTTCCTTAACATATGAATATAAAAAAAACACAACTAGGGGAAAATGAGAAGTGGCTGTTTGTACAGGTGAATGTCTTATACAGGTGGCCGTAAGAACAGACTTAATTGTACTGAAAACCAATTGAAAGAAAAAGTGGTGACCTACTTTCACTCTCGAGGCGCAAGTGATACAGAGCATTAGCTATGCTACCGATTCCAGCAATCCAGTAGATGATCCTTTCAGCTCTTGGAAGAATATCAACAGTCATGTCAAATCTATTTACTGGAAGAAATGGAGTGAATAATAACATTACTTACAGGGATAACTTATAAGAAAGTAGCTGGGCCCCCTTTCGATGAAAGAAATGATCAGTACATTAAAATCAACTGAAAGTCATTAGCCTACTACATTTACACTCTACTGGAATTTTAGCAATAAATGTTGAGAGGAAAGTGACGCACATGTTTCCAGGTTGCCAAATATATAATAAATGTATAGATTGATTCTCTATTCCACTTTCGTGGTTGTACACTCTATAATTTCAAAGGTGTGGAACAGTGCGCACGGATAGTGAACGGAAACCTCACTTGTTTACAATGGCGTCTTAGAAGACGGACTTTCCCAAGATTAAAACTCTGTGTGGACGAAACAAAGCATTTGGGAAAAATCTGGGAAAGCAGTTTGCGTGGATTTTTAAAAGTTAGGTCCTAGCCACATGGATGCTGTGGACACCTGCAAAGTTTCAAAGGTGTGGGTTAGGTCATAAGGGAGGAGTTTGTGCACAAAGCCTCCCAAGTCCACTTTTAGATACATGTATTACTGCTTGGCAAGAATATATAAGTCATGAAAAGTGGTAAGTTTATTTTGACAGCATTGGTTGAATCTACAAAAATGATACAAAGCAAAAACAAGATATGACCATACTTTAAGAGTGCAACACAACTTTTTAAAGAAACTTAATGATTCAAACAAGAAAAAGGTGATTCTCAGTTATCAAATATCTTTAGGAAAATTCAAAATGGAAAGGACAATCGAAAACAAATGTCATATCTCCAAGATATAAATTATTTAGATAGTGAACTGATCAATTAAAAAAGACTTTTAAATTAAATCCTTCGAAGCCTACTCTTATTAATTTAAGGACCACCAATGGATATTCAGCCCTTCTCCGATGAGACTTGGTGTTCCATCTTATCTACTTTAAAATCAGGGATGTGGATGAAAGACATCAGTCAGAAGGGTCCAGGACAGGGGCGGCTCGTGGGGCTAAAAAGTGGGCATGCACAATTAAGCTACAGCAGGTTGAAGATAGTCAAGGGCATAGTGAATGGATTGTCGCTTTGATTTCTAGAACTAAATCTATTTGTTAGCTAAAACATCAATTTCTTCATCCAGCATTGGAACTGAACGCTCAAGTAATAAATGTCACCACTACACTACGAAACCATTCAAAGGCACAACTCACAGGATGCAGATGGTGACTTAAGTATGTCACTTTCACCTTCCTCAGGTTCACGGTCACTAAGTCACTTAAAATAGTGGCAAGACAATGAACCAATCACAATTCACTTGAGCACGCCGCTGAATTGCTCCGGGGATCACATCATTTTGGCATAGAATAGTGTGCAGTCTATCGCGTTTATTTTTAGACTGCCAACTGTGGGCTATGTTTCGTGGGTGCACATTTGAGATGTGCCGTCTTATTAATATCAATGTACCGCCAAACTCTCTATGAGTGTCGTCATCGTGTGGGTTATTTTCCTTTATCATTCTTTCTTAAAATTAACAAAATCGTGTAATTTTCTCATTTTTTGGCTCAGTTTGCATAATTTCATAATTTTTCTTGCATAAAACGACGGGGATAGATATTTGGCTAGTGTTTGTTTCTGACTTCTTTTATTTTAAGTTTGAAGATGCTTTTCGTAATAGAACATTACAAATTTTTGGGGGGCACTGCACAACCGTGCTCTATGGACCTGGTCTAGGAGTAGTAGTAGAAAACAGAAAAAGAGTCATGAATAAGGGAGAGAGGAACATGGGTGGAAGGTGACAGAAATGAGAGGAAAGTAGATGACAGAACAGGACTAGAATATTATTTCTAGAGAAGAACATTTTTTTGTCTATGTCAGGTTTTGATCCCCGGATTTTTTTTACTGAGAGACAAATTACTTTACCTCTTAGACCATGCCAAACCCCTAATGGGTCCTGTACTCTAGGCCCTGTACAAATTCAGTTCGATCACAAAAATATGCCTTGTCCACAACCTGTACATGTGCAGTGTAGTTGGATCTGCCTTGATGGAAATCTACAGCTTGCCGAGAATAAAAAAATAGTGCTTGAGCTTGGATTCTTTTAATCAGGCACTGCCAGATGATATTTTATCAACAAATTGGAAGTTTCATATTGAAAACAAGCAGTTCAAAATCATAGGGTTTGAGTTAAAAATCTGTGTAATTTTTACTACAGACTCTTAACAAGCTTTGACTTCTTGTGCGGCTTCTACCAAACACCACTTGATATTATATGACTTTTCGGTTTTTCCGATATGCAAAGAGCCAAAGGAGTTCAGTATTTGGATAATTTTTACTTTCACTCCTGCAAACAGATGTACTGCTTTTGGGAGTCAAACAGACATATTTTTGTGCTGCAGATCATACATGGCCATTAAAACTAAAACTGTCTCAGATCGATTATTTTTCAAGAAAATTTCCAACCTAAAAACATTATATTATAAGCACGGGGGGGGGGGGGGGGGGGGGGGGGGGC